TAAAAGGGGTTTGGGGAGGCTAAAAGGGGTTTAAAGGGGGCTAAAAGGGGTTTAAAGGGGGCTAAAAGGGGTTTGGGGAGGCTAAAAGGGGTTTAAAGGGGGCTAAAAGGGGTTTAAAGGGGGCTGAAAGGGGTTTGGGGGGGCTGAAAGGGGTTCAATGACCCTATAACGCTGCTCAATGACCCTATAACGGTGCTCAATGACCCTATAACGGGGTTCAATGACCCTATAACGGTGCTCAATGACCCTATAACGCTGCTCAATGACCCTATAACGGTGCTCAATGACCCTATAACGCTGCTCAATGACCCTATAACGGGGTTCAATGACCCTATAACGGTGCTCAATGACCCTATAACGCTGCTCAATGACCCAATAACGGTGCTCAATGACCCTATAACGGGTTTCAATGACCCTATAAAGGGGTTCAATGACCCTATAACGCTGCTCAATGACCCTATAAAGGGGTTCAATGACCCTATAACGCTGCTCAATGACCCTATAACGGGGTTCAATGGCCTTATAACGGGGTTCAATGACCCTATAACGGGGTTCAATGACCCTATAACGGGGTTCAATGACCCTATAACGCTGCTCAATGACCCTATAACAGTGCTCAATGACCCTATAAAGGGGTTCAATGACCCTATAACGCTGCTCAATGACCCTATAACGGGGTTCAATGACCCAATAACGCTGCTCAATGACCCTATAACGGAGTTCAATGACCCTATAACGCTGCTCAATGACCCTATAACAGTGCTCAATGACCCTATAAAGGGGTTCAATGACCCTATAACGCTGCTCAATGACCCTATAACAGTGCTCAATGACCCTATAACGGTGCTCAATGACCCTATAAAGGGGTTCAATGACCCTATAACGCTGCTCAATGACCCTATAATGGGGTTCAATGACCCTATAAAGGGGTTCAATGACCCTATAACGGGTTTCAATGACCCTATAACGCTGCTCAATGACCCTATAAGGGGGTTCAATGACCCTATAACGGTGCTCAATGACCCTATAACGGGGTTCAATGACCCTATAACGGTGTTCAATGACCCTATAACGGGGTTCAATGACCCTATAATGGGGTTCAATGACCCTATAATGGGGTTCAATGACCCTATAACAGTGCTCAATGACCCTATAACGGGGTTCAATGACCCTATAACGGTGTTCAATGACCCAATAACGGGGCTCAATGACCCTATAACGCTGCTCAATGACCCTATAAGGGGGTTCCATGACCCTATAAAGGGGTTCAATGACCCTATAACAGTGTTCAATGACCCTATAAGGGGGTTCAATGACCCTATAACGGGGTTCAATGACCCTATAACGGTGCTCAATGACCCTATAATGGGGTTCAAAGACCCTATAACAGGGTTCAATGACCCTATAACGGTGCTCAATGACCCTATAACGGTGCTCAATGACCCTATAACGCTGCTCAATGACCCTATAACGCTGCTCAATGACCCTATAACGGGGTTCAATGACCCTATAACGGTGCTCAATGACCCTATAACGGTGCTCAATGACCCTATAAAGGGGTTCAATGACCCTATAACGGGGTTCAATGACCCTATAAAGGGGTTCAATGACCCTATAACGGGGTTCAATGACCCTATAACGCTGCTCAATGACCCAATAACGGTGCTCAATGACCCTATAACGGAGTTCAATGACCCTATAATGGGGTTCAATGACCCTATAACGCTGCTCAATGACCCTATAACGGTGCTCAATGGCCCTATAAAGGTGCTCAATGACCCTATAATGGTGTTCAATGACCCTATAACGGTGTTCAATGACCCTATAACGGTGCTCAATGACCCTATAACGGTGTTCAATGACCCTATAACGCTGCTCAATGACCCTATAACGGGGTTCAATGACCCTATAACGGGGTTCAATGACCCTATAACGCTGCTCAATGACCCTATATCGCTGCTCAATGACCCTATAACGGGGTTCAATGACCCTATAACGGTGCTCAATGACCCTATAACGGGTTTCAATGACCCTATAACGCTGCTCAATGACCCTATAACGGTGCTCAATGACCCTATAAAGGTGCTCAATGACCCTATAACGGGTTTCAATGACCCTATAACGCTGCTCAATGACCCTATAACGGGGTTCAATGACCCTATAACGGTGCTCAATGACCCTATAATGGGGTTCAATGACCCTATAACGGTGCTCAATGACCCTATAACGCTGCTCAATGACCCTATAACGGTGTTCAATGACCCTATAACGGTGTTCAATGACCCTATAACGGTGCTCAATGACCCTATAACGCTGCTCAATGACCCTATAACGGTGCTCAATGACCCTATAAAGGGGTTCAAAGACCCTATAACGCTGTTCAATGACCCTATAACGGAGTTCAATGACCCTATAATGGGGTTCAATGACCCTATAACGCTGCTCAATGACCCTATAACAGTGCTCAATGACCCTATAAAGGGGTTCAATGACCCTATAACGATGCTCAATGACCCTATAACGGGGTTCAATGACCCTATAATGGGGTTCAATGACCCTATAACGCTGCTCAATGACCCTATAACAGTGCTCAATGACCCTATAACGGGGTTCAATGACCCTATAACGCTGCTCAATGACCCTATAACGCTGCTCAATGACCCTATAAGGGGGTTCAATGACCCTATAACGGTGCTCAATGACCCTATAATGGGGTTCAATGGCCCTATAACGGTGCTCAATGACACTATAACGGTGCTCAATGACCCTATAACGGGGTTCAATGACCCTATAAGGCTGCTCAATGACCCTATAACGGGGTTCAATGACCCTATAACGGTGCTCAATGACCCTATAACGGGGTTCAATGACCCTATAACGCTGCTCAATGACCCTATAACGGGGTTCAATGACCCAATAATGGGGTTCAATGACCCTATAACGCTGCTCAATGACCCTATAACGGGGTTCAAAGACCCTATAACGGGGTTCAAGGACCCTATAACAGGGTTCAATGACCCTATAACGGGGTTCAATGACCCTATAATGGGGTTCAATGACCCTATAACGGTGCTCAATGACCCTATAACGGGGTTCAAAGACCCTATAACGGGGTTCAAGGACCCTATAACAGGGTTCAATGACCCTATAACAGGGTTCAATGACCCTATAAGGGGGTTCAATGACCCTATAAGGGGGTTCCAGGGTTTTGGGGCCCCCCGTGTCTGACCTGGGCACGAACTGGTTGGCGGGGCGCTTGGGCCGGTACTCGGGGTGCACCATGAAGAGCATGTGGGGGAAGCCGGTGCCGAAGTAGGCGCCGTCGGTGTGGTGGTGCCGCGAGGACTTGGGCGTGTAAACGTCCATGCACTTGGGGCAATAGAGCTTCACCATGGCCTCGCCGGGGATGTCCGACAGCCCTGGGGGGGGGACGCCAAAGTAACCCCCCCTTTGCCATACACACACCCCCCTTTTACCATAAACACCCCCCCTTTGCCATAAACACCCCCCCTTTGCCATACACACACCCCCCCTTTGCCATAAACACCCCCCCTTTGCCATAAACACCCCCCCTTTGCCATAAACACCCCCCCCTTTGCCATAAACACCCCCCATTTACCATAACCCCTTTACCATAACCCCTTTACCATGAACACCCCCCCTTTACCATAACCCCTTTACCATCACCCCCCCCTTTACCATAAACATCCCCTTTATCATAACCTCCCATTTACCATAACCCCTTCTTTACCATCACCCCCCCTTTACCATAACCCCCCCTTTACCACAACCCCTTTACCATCACCCCCCCTTTACCATAACCCCTTTACCATAACCCCCCCTTTACCACAACCCCTTTACCATAACCCCCCCTTTACCATAACCCCTTTACCATAACCCCCCCTTTACCACAACCCCTTTACCATAACCCCCCCTTTACCATAACCCCTTTATCATAACCCCCCCTTTACCACAACCCCTTTACCATAACTCCCTCTTTACCATCACCCCCCCTTTACCACAACCCCTTTACCATCACCCCCCCTTTACCACAACCCCTTTACCATACCCCCCCCCCAGCCAGAGGCAAATGGTTCGCTCCGGCTGAGCGCAGTTATCAATGGGGGTTCCCACGCACCCCCCCCCATTCAGTTCCCATGGGGTAACAGCTCCCCATTGATAAACACCGAGGGCCCCATTGACCCCCCTAAACCCCCCCATTCACCCCCTAAACCCCCCCATTGACCCCCTAACCCCCCCATTGACCCCCTAACCCCCCCATTCACCCCCTAACCCCCATTGACCCCCCTAATCCCCCCATTCACCCCCCTAATCCCCCCATTCACCCCCTAAACCCCCCCACTGACCCCCCCACTGACCTCCCAACACCACCATTGCCCCCCACTGACCCCCATTGCCCCCACTGCCCCCCCTAATGACCTCCCAACCCCCCCACTGCCCCCCCATAGCCCCCCATTGCCCCCCATAGCCCCCCCATTGCCCCCCCACAGCCCCCCCATTGCCCCCCATTGCCCCCCCATAGCCCCCCCATTGCCCCCCCCATTGCCCCCCATGAGCCCCCATAATGCCCCCATACCCCCCATTGCCCCCCCCATTGCCCCCCATTGCCCCCCATTGCCCCCCATTGCCCCCCCATAGCCCCCCCATTGCCCCCCATAGCCCCCCCATAGCCCCCCCATTGCCCCCCATAGCCCCCCATTGCCCCCCCCATTGCCCCCCCCATAGCCCCCCCATTGCCCCCCATAGCCCCCCCATACCTATGGGCAGCATGGGCTGGTTCTCACAATAGACCCGGGGGCAGTACCCGAAGTCCCCTTGTTGGTACTTCTCCAACTGGGAATAACGGGAATGATGGGAAGGGGGGGGCTATGGAATGGGGGGGGCCCTAGGGAATGGGGGGGTCTCTATGGAATGGGGGGGGGCCTATGGAATGGGGGGGGCCCTAGGGAATGGGGGGGTCTCTATGGAATGGGGGGGGCCTATGGAATGGGGGGGGCTATGGAATGGGGGGGCCTATGGAATGGGGGGGTCTCTATGGAATGGGGGGTCCCTATGGAATGGGGGGGTCTCTATGGAATGGGGGGGGCTATGGAATGGGGGGGGGCTATGGAATGGGGGGGGCCCTAGGGAATGGGGGGGGGCTATGGAATGGGGGGGTCTCTATGGAATGGGGGGGTCTCTATGGAATGGGGGGGGCTATGGAATGGGGGGGGGCTATGGAATGGGGGGGGCCCTAGGGAATGGGGGGGGCTATGGAATGGGGGGGCCCTAGGGAATGGGGGGGCCCTATGGAATGGGGGTTCTCTATGGAATGGGGGGTCTCTATGGAATGGGGGGGGCTTATGGAATGGGGGGGCCCTATGGAATGGGGGTTCTCTATGGAATGGGGGGTCTCTATGGAATGGGGGGGGCTTATGGAATGGGGGGGCCCTATGGAATGGGGGTTCTCTATGGAATGGGGGGGGGCTATGGAATGGGGGGGGCTTATGGAATGGGGGGGTCTCTATGGAATAGGGGGGTCTCTATGGATTGGGGGGGTCCCTATGGAATGGGGGGGGTCTCTATGGATTGGGGGGGTCCCTATGGAATGGGGGGGGTCTCTATGGAATTGGGGGGGTCTCTATGGAATGGGGGGGGTCTTTATGGAATGGGGGGGTCTCTATGGAATGGGGGTTCTCTATGGAATGGGGGGACCCTATGGAATGGGGGGGTCTCTATGGAATTGAGGGGGGTCCCTATGGAATGGGGGGGCCTATGGAATGGGGGGGGCTATGGATTGGGGGTTCTCTATGGAATGGGGGGACCCTATGGAATGGGGGGGAGCTATGGGATGGGGGGGTCCCTATGGAATGGGGGGGCCCTATGGATTGAGGGGGTCTCTATGGAATTGAGGGGGGTCCCTATGGAATGGGGGGGCTCTATGGATTGGGGGGGTCTCTATGGAATGGGGGGGTCTCTATGGAATGGGGGGGGGCCTATGGAATGGGGGGGGCTATGGAATGGGGGGGTCTTTATGGAATGGGGGGGTATCCCTATGGAATGGGAGGAGATCCCTATGGAATGGGGGGGGATCCCTATGGAATGGGGGGGGATCCCTATGGATTGGGGGGGATCCCTATGGAATGGGGGGGCCCTATGGAATGGGAGGGGGGGATCCCTATGGAATGGGGAGGAATCCCTATGGAACAGGAGGGGGGATCCCTATGGAATGGGGGGGATCCCTATGGAATTTGGGGGGGGGGGGGGGTCCCCACCATCTGGGCGATGCCGCGGTTGGTGAGGATGTAGCGGGCGTGGATGAGGCCGTAGAGCATCTCTGCAGCCTGCTCGATGAGGTCGCTCTGGTTGGGGTTGTCCTCCAGCTCCTCGTCTGGGCAAAATGGGGTAAAAACAGGGGAAAACGGTTAAAAATGGGGTAAAAATGATGAAAATTGGGGAAAATTGGGGAAAATTGGGGGAAATTGGGGGAAATTGGGGGGAAATTGGGGAAATTGGGGGGAAATTGGGGGGAAATGGGGGGAAATGGGGGCAGGCTGCTCGATGAGGTCGCTCTGGTTGGGGTTGTCCTCCAGCTCCTCGTCTGGGCAAAATGGGGTGAAACCAGGGGAAAACGGTTAAAAATGGGGTAAAAATGATGAAAATTGGGGGGAAATTGGGGAAAATTGGGGAAAATTGGGAGAAAATGGGGGAAATTGGGGGGAAATGGGGGGGGAAATGGGGGCAGGCTGCTCGATGAGGTCGCTCTGGTTGGGGTTGTGCTCCAGCTCCTCGTCTGGGCAAAATGGGGTGAAACCAGGGGAAAACGGTTAAAAATGGGGGTAAAAATGATGAAAATTGGGGGGAAATTGGGGAAAATTGGGGGAAATTTGGGGGAAATTGGGGGAAATTGGGGGGAAATGGGGGCAGGCTGCTCGATGAGGTCGCTCTGGTTGGGGTTGTCCTCCAGCTCCTCGTCTGGGCAAAATGGGGTGAAAACAGGGGAAAACGGTTAAAAATGGGTTAAAAATGATGAAAATTGGGGGGAAATTGGGGAAAATTGGGGGAAATTGGGGGGAAATTGGGGAAATTGGGGGGAAATTGGGGGGAAATGGGGGGAAATGGGGGGAAAATGGGGGGGAAATGGGGGGGAAATGGGGGCAGGCTGCTCGATGAGGTCGCTCTGGTTGGGGTTGTCCTCCAGCTCCTCGTCTGGGCAAAATGGGGTAAAAACAGGGGAAAACGGTTAAAAATGGGGTAAAAATGATGAAAATTGGGGGGAAATTGGGGAAAATTGGGGGAAAATGGGGGAAATTGGGGGGAAATGGGGGGAAATGGGGGCAGGCTGCTCGATGAGGTCGCTCTGGTTGGGGTTGTCCTCCAGCTCCTCGTCTGGGCAAAACGGGGTGAAACCAGGGGAAAACGGTTAAAAATGGGGTAAAAATGATGAAAATTGGGGGGAAATTGGGGAAAATTGGGGGAAATTGGGGGAAATTGGGGGGAAATGGGGGCAGGCTGCTCGATGAGGTCGCTCTGGTTGGGGTTGTCCTCCAGCTCCTCGTCTGGGCAAAATGGGGTAAAAACAGGGGAAAACGGTTAAAAATGGGGTAAAAATGATGAAAATTGGGGAAAATTGGGGAAAATTGGGAGAAAATGGGGGAAAATTGGGGGGAAATTGGGGGGAAATGGGGGGAAATGGGGTCAGGCTGCTCGATGAGGTCGCTCTGGTTGGGGTTGTCCTCCAGCTCCTCGTCTGGGCAAAACGGGGTGAAAACAGGGGAAAACGGTTAAAAATGGGGTAAAAATGATGAGAATTGGGGGGAAATTGGGGAAAATTGGGGGAAATTGGGGGGAAATGGGGGGAAATGGGGGCAGGCTGCTCGATGAGCTCGCTCTGGTTGGGGTTGTGCTCCAGCTCCTGGTCCATGGAAAATGGGGTAAAAACAAGGGAAAATGGGTAAAAATGGGGGAAAAGAGAGTGAAAATGGGTAAAACTGGGGAAAAGAGGGGGAAATGGGGTTAAAATGGGGGAAATGGGTGAAAAAAAGAGGTGAAATGGGGGAAAATTGGGTGAAAATGGGGATATGAACATGGGATGGACTAGGATGCAATGGGGACACAATGGGGTCAATGGGGGTCAACGGGATACAATGGGGGCCAATGGGGACACAATGGGGTCAATGGGGGTCAACGGGATACAATGGGGGTCAATGGGGACACAATGGGGTCAATGGGGGTCAATGGGATACAATGGGGTCAATGGGACACAATGGGTTCAATGGGGCCGCAGTGGAGTCAATGGGGTCAATGGGACACAATGGGGGTCAATGGGGACACAATGGGATACAATGGGTTCAATGGGGCCGCAGTGGGGTCAGTGGGCGTCAATGGGGCCACAATGGGGCCGCAGTGGGGTCAGTTGGGGTCAATGGGGCCACAATGGGATACAATGGGTTCAATGGGGTTCAATGGGGCCACAATGGGGTACAATGGGTTCAATGAGGACACAATAGGATGCAATGGGGATACAATGGGGTCAATGGGATACAATGGGGCTCAATGGGGCCACAATGGGGTACAATGGGGTCAATGGATCCACAATGGGGTACAACGGGTTCAATGAGAACACAATAGGATGCAATGGGGATACAATGGGGTCAATGGGATACAATGGGGTTCAATGGGGCCACAATGGGATACAATGGGGTTCAATGGGGCCACAATGGGGTACAATGGGTTCAATGAGGACACAATAGGATGCAATGGGGATACAATGGGGTCAATGGGATACAATGGGGCTCAATGGGGCCACAATGGGGTACAATGGGGTCAATGGATCCACAATGGGGTACAATGGGTTCAATGAGGACACAATAGGATGCAATGGGGATACAATGGGGTCAATGGGATACAATGGGGCTCAATGGGGCCACAATGGGATACAATGGGGTCAATGGATCCACAATGGGGTACAATGGGTTCAATGAGGACACAATAGGATGCAATGGGGATACAATGGGGTCAATGGGATACAATGGGGTTCAATGGGGCCACAATGGGGTTCAATGGGCTCAATGAGAACACAATAGGATGCAATGGGGATACAATGGGGTCAATGGGATACAATGGGGTTCAATGGGGACACAATGGGGTTCAATGGGTTCAATGAGGACACAATAGGATGCAATGGGGATACAATGGGGTCAATGGGATACAATGGGGTCAATGGGGACACAATGGGGTCATTGGGGGTCAATGGGATACAATGGGGGTCAATGGGGACACAATGGGAGTCAATGGGGGTTAATGGGGGTCAAAGGGGACACAATGGGGGTTAATGGGGGTCAACGGGATACAATGGGGGTCAATGGGGACACAATGGGAGTCAATGGGGGTCAATGGGATACAATGGGGTCAATGGGGGTCAACTGGATACGATGGGGTCACAATGGGGACACAATGGGAGTCAATGGGGACACAATGGGATACAATGGGGTCAATGGGATACAATGGGGACAAAATGGGGGTCAATGGGATACAATGGGGGTCAATGGGGGTCAATGGGATACAATGGGGTCAATGGGGTTCAATGGGGACACAATGGGATACAATGGGTTCAATGGGGCCACAATGGGATACAATAGAGGTCAATGGGGACACAATGGGGTTCAATGGGGCCACAATGGGATACAATGGGATACAATGGGGTTCAATGGGGTTCAATGGGCCACAATGGGTTCAATGGGGCCACAATGGGTTCAATGGGGTTCAATGGGGCCACAATGGGATACAATGGGGGTCAATGGGGCCACAATGGGATACAATGGGATACAATGGGTTCAATGGGGCCACAATGGGATACAATGGGTTCAATGGGGACACAATGGGATACAATGGGGTTCAATGGGGTTCAATGGGATACAATGGGGTTCAATGGGTTCAATGGGGTTCAATGGGTTCAATGGGGTTCAATGGGGTTCAATGGGGCCGCAGTGGGGTCAGTGGGGGTCAATGGGATACAATGGGATACAATGGGTTCAATGGGGACACAATGGGATACAATGGGATACAATGGGTTCAATGGGGACACAATGGGATACAATGGGAAACAATGGGTTCAATGGGGACACAATGGGATACAATGGGGCCACAATGGGTTCAATGGGATACAATGGGGTTCAATGGGGTTCAATGGGCTACAATGGGGTTCAATGGGGACACAATGGGATACAATGGGGTTCAATGGGGTTCAATGGGGACACAATGGGGTTCAATGGGGTTCAATGGGTTCAATGGGTTCAATGGGATACAATGGGGTTCAATGGGGTTCAATGGGGGTCAATGGGGACACAATGGGATACAATGGGTTCAATGGGGTTCAATGGGGACACAATGGGATACAATGGGTTCAATGGGGTTCAATGGGGCCACAATGGGGTTCAATGGGGTTCAATGGGGTTCAATGGGGCCGCAGTGGGGCCAGTACCTGGCTCCAGGTCCAGGATCATGTCCAGCGCCTGCCGGTAGTGCGGAACCTGCTCATTGAGGCCGGTGAGGTTGAACTTGTCCTGGATGTAATCCTCATCCACCTGGGAATGGGGCAATGGGGGGCAATGGGGGTCAATGGGGGCAATGGGGACAATGGGGGGAATGGGGGCAATGGGGGGCAATGGGGGAATGGGGGAATGGGGTCAATGGGGGAATGGGGGCAATGGGGGCAATGGGGTAATGGGGGTCAATGGGGGAATGGGGGCAATGGGGGTAATGGGGTCAATGGGGGAATGGGGGTCAATGGGGGAATGGGGGGGAATGGGGGAATGGGGGCAATGGGGTAATGGGGGTCAATGGGGGAATGGGGGTCAATGGGGGAATGGGGGGAATGGGGGAATGGGGGCAATGGGGTAATGGGGGTCAATGGGGGAATGGGGGTCAATGGGGGAATGGGGGGAATGGGGGAATGGGGGCAATGGGGTAATGGGGGTCAATGGGGGAATGGGGGGAATGGGGGAATGGGGGCAATGGGGTAATGGGGGTCAATGGGGGAATGGGGGGAATGGGGGAATGGGGGGCAATGGGGGAATGGGGGCAATGGGGGAATGGGGGCAATGGGGGAATGGGGGGAATGGGGGAATGGGGGCAATGGGGGTCAATGGGGGAATGAGAGTCAATGGGGTAATGGGGGTCAATGGGGGCAATGGGGTAATGGGGGGATCAGAAAGGTTTTGGGGCTGGGTTGGGGGGCAGTTTTGGGTGGTTTTGGGGCAGTTTTGGGTGGTTTTGAGCAGTTTTGGGTGGTTTTGAGCAGTTTTGGTTCAGTTTTGGGGTGGTTTTGGGTGATTTTGGGTCAGTTTTGGGGGGTTTTGAGCGGTTTTGAGCAGTTTTGGGTGGTTTTGGTTCAGTTTTGGGGTGGTTTTGGGTGATTTTGGGTCCATTTCAGGCAGCTTTGGGTGATTTTGGATGATTTTGGGCGTTTTGGGGTCAGTTTTGGGTGGTTTTGGGTCAGTTTTGGGTCAATTTTGGGCGGTTTTGAGCAGTTTTGGGTGATTTTGGGTCCATTTCAGGCAGTTTTGGGTGATTTTGGTTCGGTTTTGGGTGATTTTGGTTCAGTTTTGGGTGATTTTGTGTGATTTTGGGTCAGTTTTGGGTGATTTTGGGTGGTTTTGGGTGATTTTGGGTCAGTTTTGGGTGATTTTGGGTCAGTTTTGGGTGATTTTGGGTGATTTTGGGTCAGTTTTGGGTGATTTTGGTTCAGTTTTGGGTGATTTTGGTTCAGTTTTGGGTGATTTTGGGTCAGTTTTGGGTGATTTTGGGTCAGTTTTGGGTCCATTTCAGGTGGTTTTGGGTGATTTTGGTTCAGTTTTGGGTGATTTTGTGTGATTTTGGGTCAGTTTTGGGTGATTTTGGGTGGTTTTGGGTGATTTTGGGTCAGTTTTGGGTGATTTTGGGTCAGTTTTGGGTGATTTTGGTTCAGTTTTGGGTGATTTTGGGTCAGTTTTGGGTGATTTTGGGTCAGTTTTGGGTCCATTTCAGGCGGTTTTGGGTGATTTTGGTTCAGTTTTGGGTGATTTTGTGTGATTTTGGGTCAGTTTTGGGTGATTTTGGGTCAGTTTTGGGTGATTTTGGGTCAATTTTGGGTGATTTTGGGTCAATTTTGGGTGATTTTGGGCGGTTTTGGGTGCTTTGTCCCCACCTCACAGAAGAATTCGTTGCCTCGGAGGCCGCAGAACCAGGAAATCCAGGAAACCTCCTCGGAGCTGCTCATGGCGGCGCCGCTCGGGGCCTATGGGGAGCCTCTGGGGGACACAGGGACCCATAGAGACCCATAGAGACCCATAGAGACCCATAGGGACACATAGAGACCCATAGGGACCCATAGGGACCCATAGGGACCCATAGGGACCCATAGAGACCCCATAGGGACCCACAGAGACCCCATAGGGACCCACAGAGACCCCACAGAGACCCTATTAAAACTCTATAGAGCCCCATAGAGACCTATAAGGACCCACAACCACCTCTGGAGACCCTATAGAAACCTCATTGAAACACCACAGACCCCTATAGGAACCTATGGAGACCTACACAAACCCTAAGAGCCTACACAGACCCTATAGAGACCCTATAGCCCCCTATAGAGACCCTATAGCCACCTATAGATACCCTATAGCCCCCTATAGAGATCCTACAGACCCCTATGGATACCCTATAGCCACCTATAGAGACCCTATAGTCCCTTATAGATACCCTATAGTCCCCTATAGAGATCCTACAGACCCCTATGGATACCCTATAGCCACGTATAGATACCTATAGAAGCCCTATAGCCACCTACAGCTGTCCTATAGCCACCTATACTCTATAGATACCTACAACCTATATACACCTGTAGATACCCTAGAGCCCCCTATACATACCCTATAGAGACCCTACAGATATTCTATGGACCCCTATAGATACTCTATAGCCATCTATAGATACTCTATAAATACCCTATAGCCCCCTACAGGTACCCTATAGCTATCTATAGATGCCCTATAGACACCTATAGAAACCCTACAGCCACCTATATATGCCCTATAGCCACCTATAAACACCTTACAGATCCCTATAGAGACCGTACAGATACCCTATGGACACCTATAGATACCCTGTAACTGCCTACAGAAACCCTATAGCCGCCTATAGATGCTCTATAGCCACCTACAGATATCCTATAGCCACCTATAGATGCCCTATAACCACCTATAGATATTCTATTGCCACTTATAAATACCCTATAGCCACCCCTAGATACCCTATAGCCACCTACAGATACCCTATAGCCACCTACAGATGCCCTATAGCCACCTACAGATGCCCTATAGCCACCTATAGATACCCTATAGCCACCTATAGATATCCTATAGTCACTCATAGATGCCCTATAGCCACCTATAGATGCCCTATAGCCACCTAGAGACATTCTATAATCACTTACAGATGCCCTATAGACACCTATAGATATCCTATAGCCACCCCTAGATACCCTATAGCCACCTGTAAATACCCTATAGCCACCTATAGATATCCTATAGCCACCTATAGATGCCCTATAGCCACCCATAGATACCCTATACACACCTATAGATGCCCTATAGGCACTTATAGATGCCCTATAGCCACCTATAGATGCCTATAGCCACCTATAGATACCCTATGGACACCTATAAATGCCCCATAGGCACCTACAGATACCCTATAGATGCCCTACAGGTACCTATAGATGCCCTATAGATGCCCTACAGGTACCTACAGATACCCTATAGATGCCCTACAGGTACCTATAGATACCCTATAGATGCCCTACAGGTACCTATAGATGCCCTATAGATGCCCTACAGGTACCTATAGATGCCCTATAGATGCCCTACAGGTACCTATAGATACCCTATAGATGCCCTACAGGTACCTATAGATGCCCTATAGATGCCCTACAGGTACCTATAGATACCCTATAGATGCCCTACAGGTACCTACAGATGCCCTATAGATGCCCCACAGGTACCTATAAATGCCCTATAGATGCCCTATAGATGCCCTATAGATGCCCCATAGCACCTATAGGGACCTATGGGCCCCCCCAGACCTCCATTCAGAACCCACGGCCGCCGACAGAGCCCCACAGACAGGGCCCCAGAGGCACCCACTGTGACCCATAAGGGCCTATGGAGCCCCACAGAGCCCCCTAGAGCCCCCATAGAACCCCCATAGCCCCCATAGAACCCCCGTAGACCCCATAGAACCCCCATAGGCCCCTATAGAAACCCCATAGCGCCACATTAAGCCCCACAGAGCCCCACAGCGCCCCACAGCCCCCCCCATAGCTCCCCATAGAGCCCCACTGACCCCCCTAGGCACCCATAGGCCCCTATAGAAACCCCATAGCGCCCCATTGACCCCCATAGCACCCCACAGCCCACCCATAGCGCCCCATTGACCCCCATAGCACCCCCATAGTGCCCCATTGACTCCCATAGCACCCCATAGCGCCCCATTGAGCCCCATAGCGCCCCACAGCCCCCCATAGAGCCCCACTGACCCCCGTAGGCACCCATAGGCCCCTATAGAAACCCCATAGCGCCCCACAGCCCCCCCATAGCGCCCCATAGCGCCCCATTGACCCCCATAGCGCCCCACAGCGCCCCCATAGCGCCCCATAGCACCACATTGACCCCCATAGCTCCCCATAGCGCCCCATAGCGCCCCACAGCCCCCCCATAGCGCCCCATTGACCCCCATAGCTCCCCATAGCGCCCCATAGACCCCCATAGCGCCCCATTGACACCCATAGAGCCCCACTGACCCCCATAGCTCCCCATAGCGCCCCATTGACCCCCATAGGCCCCCATAGCGCCCCATTGACCCCCATAGGCCCCCATAGCGCCCCATTGACCCCCATAGCGCCCCATAGCCCCCCATAGCGCCCCATAGCGCCACATTGACCCCCATAGCGCCCCATAGCGCCCCATTGACCCCCATAGCGCCCCCATAGCGCCCCATAGCTCCCCATAGCGCCCCACAGCCCCCCCATAACCCCCCATTGACGCCCATTGACCCCCATAGCGCCCCATTGACCCCCATAGCTCCCCATAGCGCCCCATTGACCCCCATAGCTCCCCATAGCCCCCCATAGCGCCCCATTGACGCCCATAGCGCCCCATTGACCCCCATAGCGCCCCATAGCGCCCCACAGCCCCCCCATAACCCCCATAGCGCCCCATTGACCCCCATAAAGCCCCATTGACCCCATAGCGCCCCATAGCGCCCCATAGCGCCACATTGACCCCCATAGCTCCCCATAGCGCCCCATAGCGCCCCATTGACCCCCATAGGCCCCCATAGCGCCCCATTGACCCCCCACAGCCCCCCCATAACCCCCATAGCGCCCCATAGCGCCCCATAGCGCCCCATTGACCCCCACAGCCCCCTATGGAGCCCCCTCCCCCCCCTCACCGCTCTCGGGGTCGCTCCGGGCCCGCTCCGCGCGCACCGCGCAGGCGCCGCTCGCCCCTCCCCCCCCCCCGGCAGCAGCCAATCAGCGCCCGGAGCGCGGCTGCGCCTGCGCGGGGGGGAGGGGAGGGGGAGGGGCGAGGCGGGGTGGGGGAGGGGCGGGGGCGCGCGTGCGCGGAGGGAGGCTACGCCCCGCCCCTCCCCCCCCCCCCCTTGTATCCCCGCAGCGGTGGCGTCATAGGGGAGAGCAGCGTGGGGGCTGCCCCATAGAGCGGGGTCTGACCCATGGAGCCTGCCCCATAGATCGGGGTCTGACCCATAGATCTGGATCTGACCCATAGAGCCTGACCCATAGAGCCTGCCCCATAGATCTGGATCTGACCCATGGAGCCTGACCCATAGATCTGGATCTGACCCATAGAGCCTGACCCATGGAGCCTGCCCCATAGATCTGGATCTGACCCATAGATCTGGATCTGACCCATAGATCTGGATCTGACCCATGGAGCCTGACCCATAGATCGGGGTCTGACCCATGGGGCCTGACCCATAGATCTGGATCTGACCCATAGAGCCTGACCCATAGATCTGGGTCTGACCCATAGATCTGGATCTGACCCATAGATCGGGGCCTGCCCCATAGATCTGGATCTGACCCATGGAGCCTGCCCCATAGAGCCTGACCCATAGATCTGGATCTGACCCATAGAGCCTGCCCCATAGATCTGGATCTGACCCATAGATCTGGATCTGACCCATAGAGCCTGACCCATACATCTGGGTCTGACCCATAGAGCCTGACCCATACATCTGGGTCTGACCCATAGATCTGG